GTTTAAGTGATGGCAGAAAGGGTGTGAAATCAAGCAGAGATTGCTCCATTTAAAATGTGCTGCTTTTGCAGGTGAAGCTGTGTGATTTTGGCTTTGCACGCATCATTGGTGAGAAGTCTTTCCGGCGCTCTGTGGTGGGCACTCCTGCGTACCTCGCCCCTGAAGTGCTCAGGAGCAAAGGCTACAACCGCTCCCTAGACATGTGGTCAGTAGGAGTTATTGTCTATGTGAGTCTCAGTGGCACGTTCCCATTTAATGAAGATGAGGATATCAATGATCAGATTCAAAATGCAGCATTTATGTACCCACCAAATCCTTGGAAGGAGATTTCTAGTGAAGGTAAACAAATTCATTTCTAATTTCTCTATTAGAATGTTTGTGTACATAGGTAATGCATTCAAATGCTTAAATATCAAGGTTTATTTAGGAAGGAGTGAGAAAATTATTGTTAGTTTGAGTTTTTAGTAGACTATGCCCAAATAGGTAAATATGAGGTAAATATATTTGTGAAAGATAAATTATAAAATATAATGCTTTAGAAAATTTTCATGGCAGGGGAGTCAGAAGATTTAGCAAGAAAAATTAATTTCATGCATGATGAGTGGAATGAGTGATCTGATACTTCCCAAAAGTCCCAAAGGAAAGTTCATTCATGTGTGGGTATTTGCTGAATGATGGTATGTTTTATCTGAACTATAATCACAGAAACTGTTCAAAGTTGAATCTGGAATTTTAGTTTGTACATTAGGAAGTATGGACTGAAGTGTGAGGTCTGAAGAACCTAGAAGTTTACAAGGCTGGTCTCTAGAGCTCTCCAGTGCCAGCTTTGGTTATATGTTGTTACCATGTTTGGTTAATAAATTATTAAGACACAGGTAGATGTGGAAGGATATATACAGTAGTGGAAGTACCTATATCATTGTGGAACAGGATTATGCTCAAGATTTTTAGACATATCTGAAAATTACTAAAATCAGTAGTGAAAAAGATTAACGAATAATACAGTAATGCTTTTAGTTTTTCCATCAAAAGTAGGGGGAACATACCCCATATTACTTTTTTGTAGCCACATTTAACATAAGGAAAGCTAAATATAAAATTCAAGAGTTTGGTTAACTTTAAAGGAATTCAGTGTAGGATACACTCACACATAAAAATATAATTTCTACTGCAGCATGTGAATGATGATGGAGGTGATTAGCATTTAAACAATATAATTTTTGTTCTTCTTTGCCAGCCATTGATTTAATAAACAATTTGCTTCAAGTGAAGATGAGAAAACGTTTCAGTGTTGACAAATCCCTTAGTCACCCATGGTTACAGGTAAACCCATCTGCCTTTTTCACTATGCTTACAATGGGTGAATAATTTTTTTGACTGAAATTCTTCAGAGGCTTATGAAAACTTCAAGTGTCACATTCTGTTAACAAGCATTCATGAAGGCTTGAGCATTTCTGGATTTAACTTTACATTTTATGCACTCCAGGGTTCTGACCATCTGTGAATGGCTTCCTTCTTCAAGGGAAATTTGTCATACTGTCTCTTTTGCCTTTTCCTTTCTGTCTGACAACAACATGGGTTTACTCTTCTGGCTTCCCCCTCGACTATGGGCAGTGATGAATGCATGGAGCCGTGTGAAATCAGCATGGAGACAAACATTGTTTGTTCAGTGCTGAAGTGGACACATAGCCTGGTGTGTGCTGTAACTTGTAGTCCATTTAGAAAAGATTTGTTTGGAATGGAATATTTTATCTGCTGCTTTGACAATCTTAGATACTAGCCTATTTAATTTTGAACTATTCTTTGTGAACAGTGTTGGGGCTTTTTTTTTAACAGATCTTGTTGGTTATATCTTCTGGCTATTTACACTAAAAATGGACAGAAACTGCAGAATTTATCCATGGGAATGTAATGGTGCTGTTTCTTAAAACTGCTTCCTTAAATCTTTTACTCCTTAGGATTATCAGACTTGGCTTGACCTCAGAGAATTTGAAACACGCATTGGAGAGCGTTATATTACCCATGAGAGCGACGATGCACGCTGGAAAGAACATGCTTATGAACACAACCTCGAGTACCCCCAGCACTTCATTATGGCTCCCAATCCAGATGACATGGAAGAAGACCCTTGATTTGCTCATTATGTTAAATTGTAGCAAAGAAGGATACTCCAGGCAGAAACTGAAGTTTTGAAACAGCTATTGCTCTTTCCAAAGGCTGTACACATAGTTTGTTGTGTAAAGCCCAGAGGATCCTGCATTACCATGAGAATAGTCTGTCGTCTGCAAACTTTTCTCCATCCCTGACTTTGAGTAGTTACTGGACAGTGGGATACAAAGCCCTGTTGGGTAACATTTCACCAAGCTGGGTGGCTACAAAGCCATTACCAAGGTGTGGTGTGTACAGACTGAATGGTTTGTGTTTTTCAAGGGTTTTTGTTTTTTCATAGCCTATGCAGTAAGAGTTTTGTAATAGTTTTCTAATCCCTATTTACTAGGCCGTAGGGGACTGTTTTCTGCTGCTTAGATCTCCTGTTTCTCAAACTGTGGATGGTGAAGAGTCTATAAAGAAATCAGTTCAGAATTCCTTGGCTAAGGCAAACATGGTGGTTTAGTTGAATACAGCTTCATAGATGAAGGAATAATTTGCTGCTGTTTAGACAGTTAAATATGTGTGTCTTTGCCCTAATTGAACCTTTTACAGATAGCAACCAAAACAAACTAAAAAAAGGAAAACCCCATAACTTCTTACATTCCTCTTGAAATGCTTGCTGACAGTCTAAGGAGATGATAATCAAAGCTGTGCTAGGCTTTTATTTTGTCTGTTAAAAAAAGCAATAAGCCACAACAGTGCGCTGCTATGCAAGGCTGGCACATCATTGATACACACCAAAGGCATTTTGACTTAAACCTACACAAATAATGCACAGAGAGCACACAAGACTTGATGTAGCATATCTTTTCACTCTGGAAGATGAGCTTTTAGCAGAAGGATGTGGAAAAATAGGGAAAATACATGCAGCTTTCTTATGTCGTTTCAAGTAATAAGATTTTAAAAGTTTTCTAATATTTTTCTAATTTTTAAGGTTCCCTGGACTTATATCAGGAGTAGTTTGTAGCCTGCTAGCTTGTTATGTTAACTCTGCTCAAAACCTAGAAGTAACAGTGGATACCACATCAGCTGTTGCTTCTGCCAGGGCAGCTAGATTGTAGGAGAAAGGATTTTGCCTTGCCACCTTAACCTGCATCCCTCCTATCCTCTTTACTGTGCTCAGAACTGTTTGAGCTGAATGAAGAGTCCAAAAGCAACTGCTCAGTTTTTTCTGTGCACATGCCTCAACTGAAGGATTCCCAACCACTAATGCTACTTGTGGCGCAGTAGAGGGGAAACAGCAGGCTTCTTTGGAGATTATTCCCTTGGACAGTTCAAGTTAATGGTATTTCAAAGAAGTTTGAGGCCATAATGTTAAATGCAAATGGAAGAGGGTTTTTTTGTCTTATTTTTAAAAATTAGAAGGGTGAAATCCTTTTTTTATGGAGTAACAGTGTTGTGCTCCTGGAGGGTACTGGATGGATGCATGCATCCCTGATGTGCCAAGCTGCTTAACTGGAGCTTAGTTGGAAATTTTTATAAAATTATGATATGGGCTTGAACTGCAAAGGCAGTGAGAGGCTTTGGGGTATCTCCACTCTCCTACAAAGATTTTTCTTTTTTTTGTTTTTGTGTAGATAAGTATTTTTTATACTGTTTTTATTCAGGTAAGGAAGCAGGTGAACAGATTTAGAAGTTGTTAGGTATACCTAAAATGGTTAGTTCAGAGCTGGAAATGGCAGCTGCAGAAGGATGTGCCCACAGGTAGATCTGGGTCTTCAACTCACTCTTTCTTTTCCCCTTGTCCTTTATCTATCTGCCACTGCATTTCATAGTTGTCTGTGCTGACAAAGGCTGAGCTCTGGATTCGTAACCCTGTTTAGAGAGGGTTTCAGGACTGATTGTTCAAAGAGGCACTGCTTTCCATCTCTGCAACCAGAGCAATCACCTCTGACATTGGTAGTTTGGTATTTGCCCATTCTTGTTGGCAAGCAAAGCAGTGCTGTTTTTCAACTTCCAATGCTCAAGTGACCAAATTTCAGTGAAGCCATTGCTATAGTCCATCCTAACTGTACTATATAGATACAGTTTGGTTTTAAACTTCAGATTTTTTACTTGAGCTGTTACTCCAGGTTTACCTGTGGGTTTGTTGTTTATGTTGTTGTAAGGGAGAAAATAAAGCAGCTCACACACTTGAAAAAGCACAACAGGAATAGAGGAAGGAGGGAACAATAATGAAGTAGAAGGCCTGGCTTTTGTCTCTCCCCATGAAGTCTTCACTGCTTCAAAATATTATATGAGCTATTTATTCTTCAAGTTGTATTAAAATAAAAATAATGCTGTTGACCTGTCAAAGAGATTGCCTGATCACATGCAGACTTATGGAGCCAGACAAGAGAAGTCACAAGCAGCTAGTAGTCAAGAAACCAAAAAATCCGGCTTACATTACATATAAAATTCCTAGAGTAGTAAAAGTATCTGAGTTTTATTCCCTTTTTTCTATTTTTACTGCAGACTTTGACAGCAGTAGGTTACAGTGTTTAATACCCTTACCCTAGATGAATTAAGTTGCATTCATTCAAGCAATAGTGCTATGGTGATGCTATAAAAAAGCTCATGTAAAATTTATAGCCTCAAAATGACACTGTCAAGTACTTTTATATTTTTATACACCCCATTGTTTGTAAATATCCTCTGGTAAGCTTGAAAATAAAATTTATTTCCCTATCAGACTAGTTCTTTTTATTTACGTGAATTATCTCCTATTAAATGTTCTTAGAAGTAAATGGTCCTATACTTTCTTGTTTGTGGATTTATTAAATATGTCCTGCTGTGGAAATTCAGCCAGCAGGAACTCCTTTTATGTGCATCCTGTCACTATTCTCTTTATAAAAATATCTTCAGAGATGTCAAGGCATCTTGATTTTATTCAAGTACCAAATCTTGTATACATTTAAAGTCTCCATAGTGCATGTTACTGACAAGTTTGGATTGCATTAGTAAATATTTCAATCTGTTCTCTCAAAAGACTCCCAAAACATTGTTCATTCTTTGCTCTGTGTGTGCTGGTTTCTGTATGTGCAATGTTTTATTTCCACTCATACTGCTTTGAACGGATCAGTCCAGAGGTTTGGTGTGCTGTACCAGACTCATTCTGAAACAGCCATCACACATTTTGCCATAGTATAATTTCTTTAGTAACAGTTCATTAAATCCAGCAACAGGTGGTAGGGGAGACTTTGATTCTGGCTTATCTTTCTTGTCAGGATGTACAAGTCTGTGGTGAGGCAGCAGGACAAAAAAATTAAAACAGTTTCCCATCTTCTAGGGATTCATCAACATAGCATAGCTGTGAAGTAACTGCTCACTGCAAGAGCACCTGGAAAAAAATGCAGGTTAGAGTCCTTCCTGTATTCCTATAAATTCCTGCATACCTGCAATCCCTTCTTGCATCCTTTCCACTTAATGGTGCTGCGATGGTTGGTAAAACTGGTGAGATCACTGGTGGTGGTCCATAGCCCACACACTGATGAAAGTTTTGCATTAAATGCTCCTAAATATAGTCAGTTTACTTTCAGGGATCTGGAGTAACTTACATCTAGCAGAAGCAACTTTCTGATCTCATACCTACATGTTATTTTGAACAACATTTTAAAATCAAAGACTAAAGCTCTCGTACTGCTTAAGAGTATTGCCTGTGGATTGGGAGAGTTCTGCAGATGTGAACACTCGTACCTGCAGTCGGAGGTCAATGCCCATGTTCTTTAAAAACTCCCTCTGTTTTATAGGGCCTAATGTAGCTGGTTTTCCCTGTGCCATCTTTCGAAGGTAGCTGAAATCAATATCTGCTGTCAGGTCTGCTGTACCTGGAGCACTCAGCACATTGTGAAGTTTGTGATTCCGAAAACCCTGCAAATGAAATTGGAAGATTACACTCAGCTGTAGCCCAACCATCATAGCCAGGGCTGGCAAAAATTAAGCTGTGGCTTAGAGTGGCGATAATAGCAAATTATACGTGGAAAGTTGGAGATAAATGTAGGAAGAGCTCAGATTTCCTTTTCCAACTGACAGAAACCCTTCTGGGTACTGATTAAACAGGAATTACTCAGTTTTATGCAGTTTTTGCTATTTTGCCCACCTATGAACTTTAACTTACAAGAATCTAACAATCAAAGACAACAGAGTCTTTTGATTTATTGCTACAGGGCAAATAAATGCCTTACCCAGAAAGTGTCAGTTTTGTTCCGTCGTGGCCGTAATCTGCGACCAGAGCAGCTCCACCATCCTTCTCTATCTGAGAGGCCAGCCTCTCCACAATGACACCAGCCTCAGGACACACTTCCACATGGTCTCGTTTCTTCTGGCTAGTGCAGAGTTCAAAGACCAGAACACCTGTATTAGCAGACAAGCACAAGGCAAGTATCCCTCACACTTGGTGTCTTGGGGCTGTTGCTTTCCTGGGACATGCAGGTACAGGAGGTGCATCCTAGGCTACCTACACTGGCTTGAGCTAGTTTTTGCTATCACTCATTCTCCATTAGTATTTTCTGAGTGCTGGATTTCAGTGCTCTCTTCAATAACCAGTAGTCAAGTGCCAATTTTTCTACCAAGAATATCTCTATCAGGTGCAATTTCCTTGCTGTAGTACTTAAGGAAAATAGTGCTTCGGCTGTGCACACCCTTCCGAGAGTCCTTCCTGTGTGAGACTTCATAGCTCCGTTTAATCTCCACTACTTAATTTTGTAGCTTTGAGTATCCAGTGCACTTCAGGAAAAAAACACAGCCACTCTCCACTAAAGGTCAGCCTGGCACTGAGCAGGCAGCTGCCCTGAGTACCCTTCAGCACGCTGAGAGCCTGGCTGTGGCAGGGCCACTCTTGAGATGGTGATGCCACACACACAGTGGAAAACTCTGTCCATCATTTGGTGCCTTGGTTTGCTCTCTGAGACATGTTGTGTGTGCAAGCTCCTATTTTGCAAAGTTTGATACACGTGGTAACTTTTGTGCTGCAGTTTCACAGCATACAAAGCTAAACGCTTGTGGAAATTTTAAGCTCTATTCATTTATAGACTGAGAGCCCTCTTCTTGCTGTCAGAGTAACTGAGAAGCACTAAATGTACTTGAAAGAGTCAATAAAGGTGTAAGGATGAGCTCTGGTAGGCATAACCTCACCTGAATAAAGTTTTGTGTCACAGGGGTCCTGGATGGTGACAGGACAAACAGCAGCTGGTCAGGAACTTCTGGGTCAATATCAACCAACACCTCACACCAGCCTTTTTCTGTTCGCTGTTCAACGAGCCCAAAGTACTCATGTTACACTCCAACAGGTACCACAGTATCTTGTTAATTTGACTGAACTAATATGTCAAGACTTTTCATAAAGGTCTTAGGAACAATACATTGTTAACAACTATTACTCATTTAATTCCATTAACTGCCTTAGAAAAAGTTTGTGGTGAAGAATCATCTGCAGAGCCAACAAATACGAGTTTAATTATACTTGAAAGGAATCAATGATGCTCTGAAGAAAATGCCGCCTCTTCTGTTGACAGTTGCAACATTTAACTTACCAGAATAAAATATTTCATTCTACTGGTGATTTTCATAAATTAGCTACTTCTGAATTGTAACTAGCCTCTATTTGACTGCTCTCATTATTATTTAAGTGAAACCCCTTCAGTCTTTTCTTAGTATTATTACAGAAAATCATGTGGAAATTAAAATCTGTGTTAATGTAGCATAAGAAATAAAAAAACCAAAACCTTGAGAGTTATCTGAGCAGAAAGAAATCCTTATCTTTCTTCGAGTTTTTCCATTAAAAATAATTACTAATTTTACAGTTTTCAGCTGAATTAAGCCTTATTTGTCCAATTTAGTTAGAATTATTTCATCACCAGAGATAGTGCATGTGACTAGTTGGCACCTCAATTCTGTTCTTCCTCAAAGAGAAAAAGTGTTTAAGCAGATGGTCACAATTAAAAGTAATAATCTTTCTATACCTGAAACTTATGTATTGGCAGGGCATCAAAGAACTCGTGTGCTAGATAAAAGCTGTAACCTGTGGGAAGGTAAAAAAAAATGCATTAAATTATTAACACTTCTAGAACAGCTCTCAGTTTAAAATATTTTTATGATTTTTAATGAATTAAGCTAGTTAATGTGGTTGTGAAGAAATTGTAATTACTTCCAGCTTACACACATGAAAGATACCATTTCTACAGCTAGTTGTAGTTACCAATCCATGAATTTTAGATCACTTTCTTGTGAAAGGAGATTCAGGCAAAGCCAGTAAAGTTTTGAGGTTTTTTTTTCCCCATGGAAAGAAAAAGTCAGAATATAGGAAAATGGGTAAGTATCCCCAAATGAAGATTGAAAGAATAGGTAGCAGTGATAAAAATGAACCAAGATCCTCCTGCCTCAGAGTCATACAAGTAAGAACAAATATGTGTAAAACTACTTTTCTGTCCAGTGTGAAGGCTAGAAGAGATGCCCTCTGCTATCTAAAGTTATCAGTGAAGGAAGGGCACCATCCTTTTAACAAGGCATTCAAGCTCCTTACCTGGTGGCACATCTTGAATGTCTCTGTACCAAAAAATGGGAATTCCAGTCTTGCTAATGCCTTTCATGTAAGCAGACTCATCCTCAGGGCTTGGCTGCACCTTCCCTCCTGTCAGCATCACTGCTTGGATCTCGCTGAGTTTGGGGCTCACTTCTACCAGATGAACAGAGATATCACATGTACTAAGAACAGAGGCGAGCTGCTTGAAGACCTATAAAGACAGATGAATTCTATTAGGTGCAGTCTTGTGCTGTGTCCCTTAATGGTTCAAGTATTAACCTATCTTCTCACTATTTACTGTTCACTATTAACTATTCAAGATAGAAGATTTTAATTAGCTTTCACTAACAAAACAATCTCAGTGAGAAAGACTGCATTTTGCTCCCTCAGTAGGAAGCGTGAGTTTCTTCATAAATCTTAATAAAAGCTGCTACACTTCAAAAAAGTTGGCTATACATTACAGGGTTGTAAGGACAAAAATATGAAATGCTAATTTGGAAGAGTAGTAGCAGCTCCTCCAAGACCTGCAGAAGGTCTAGCATTAGGAGAAAAATATCTCTGTTTTCCTGCCACCTTTAACAAATGTTTCATATCCCACATTTCATAATTTTTCATTATTTTTATTAACATATGTAAATAGAACAAAAGTTATTATGTGGTGCTAAGTCCCATTAGCAATCTGTTTACGAATCACCAGCATTTTAATAAAGACAGCCATGTAGGCATGACTGAACACAAAGCACTAACTCAAAAGAAATAAGGCCCTGAAATGCCCAAAGGAATTAACACAATTTCATTCTGTGTTATTGCACTCCCCTGTTCTGTTCCTTGCACTAAGGCCTCCATCTCAATTACACATAGCAACACCTTCCTAGATGGTTTTCAGTTTGGATAATGTTTCCCTGCACAGAAATAATTTACAATGAAATATTCCTGCCCTCCCCTTCTCTCCAGTGATGTTCGGAAGGTCACAGCCATGTCCATGGAGTGTGCACATGCTGGCCCCGGTCTGCTTCCACCTGAGAGCCCTGGTCCCAGAAACTCATCCATTCTAATCAGAGTCTGAGCTGCCAAACTGACTGAAGTGATCTGGCTACTAGGCAAGGCAGTGAAACATCTTCCCTTCAGATTTTGCTGCAGCTATGGAATACAGCCAGAAACAAAGAACACGAATGATTTTCACCTACCTGCAATATATCCTCCATGAGGGTGCCCCTCCCTGGGCCCAGCTCCACCAGCTAGAAGGTGGTTGGTTTGCCCATGGCCATCCATTCACTAATGTACGATATTCCTATTAACTGTCAGTGAGAAACAACACACGGCGTTACAGTAAGAAATTCAGAACTTGCAGAAAATCACACCTGCCTTTGTCTGATAGTAACTGAGATAACATGGCAAAATTCTGTCTTGATATTTTGAAGTTAAGAATTATGATACATAACATCACATTACTGTCTTTAAGTATTAAAATTGGTCATTGATTGCTGTCAGCCCAGCAGAAGCAACTCTCCATCAATAAATGTGGAGAGTCTGTTCTGGCTGGAGCAAGAACTTTCACCTAAGGCTCAAATGCAGGTCACTGTCCAGGTGCCTTTGGACAACTGTTTTTCCTGACAATGCATTTACCAAAGCACCACTGAGAACAGGATTTCGCCAATCTTCACTTCTGGAAATGATACACAAACCAGAGCGAGCCAGACTAAACTCTGGAGGTTATTTCTGAGGGTTAAGTTTTCACACTGGAAAATCACCAAACTCTTTTTATTTATAAGCAAGTTCTGTATAAAAGTGTTACTAGGCACAGATGGTGTTTCATACAAAGGACTTTCAGAAAAACAAAACCCCCTTTCCTCCCTCAAAACCAATTTTTCTCTTGGGAAATAGCTTGAACCGTATCATAGCTACTCCAGTATTTTGACATTGATAAAGTGGCTTGGAAAACTGGCTTGGAAATCAGCTGGGATGGAAATTGGAAGGACCACATTGGGCTATCTGGACTACCCTCCCTGTTCAAGTAGGGTCATCCTAGAGCACACAGCACAGGATTTTGTGCAGATGGTTCCTGAATGTCTCCAGTGAGGGAAACTCCACAACCTCCCTGGGCAATCTGAGTGCCAGTACACAGTAAAGTTCTTCCTCATGTTCAGGTGGAACTTCCTGTGCATGAGTTTCTGCCCATTGACAGTATGGACACGGAGCAGAGCCCGGCTCCATCCTCCTGGCACCTCCCTTCAGATACTCACAGACACCCATGAGTTCCCCTCTCAGTGCCTCTTCCCGAGGCTGAACAGGCCCAGCTCCCTCAGCCTTTCCTCATCAGAGAGATGCTCCAGTGCCTCAATCATCTTTGTTACCCTCCACTGGAGCCACTCCAGGGGCTCCATGTCTCTCTTGTCCTGAGGAGCCCAGAACTGGACTCAGCACTCCAGATGTGCCTCACCAGGGCTGGGCAGAGGGGCAGGATCACCTCCCTTGA